TGGTCATGGATGACATCAACGTTTTCTAGGGGGAGCGGAGTGAACTGGTAACTAAGTTCCAAATTTTAAGACACATCTAGGTAGTAATGTTACGGAGTAGATCAACCTGCCTCAGAATGGGATGGCCTGAAGCAGTTTGGGTGGGAATTGAACACACTATATAATGGTGGGATTTGTGCTCCCAAGAGGAAAAGAGGTGAGGCTGTGCTGCTGTGAACACGTGCCTTTTGTTAGCGTTGCTGTGAGTTTAATAGTTATTTTCTTTGTTGTTGAGTTATCCATGTACTGCAGACCACTGTAAATAAAACCATTACCTCTGGAAACATACAATGTTTGAGTCTGCCTACCTACCACCTTCCTAGCCACCTTGGTCAGCTTTATGCCAAGTAGGTTTACACATACAAGGAAGTCATGTGGTGCTAAAGAATGAACACAAAATATTTAATTGACAACATTTAAATAATTAGAACGGGTATTTTCTAAAGAGCTGCCAGCTGCGGCTGCTGCTCCATCAGCAATTTTTCAAATCCTGTAGCGCCGCCTGCATGTACAAAATGTGTATTTGCTGCATTTGCTTAACATGCCCTGAATAGGATTTGAACTGCGTGGTGTTGCCTGATTGTGTTTCTCCCGGAGTCGTGTCTTTCTCTTCAGTTCAGCACTGACAAAACTAACCACCAAGTTCCACCGAGATTTCAACCTCTGGATCCAGAGTCCAGAGTGCTAACCATCACACCAAACTGACCACATGCTGACCTGTCACTTCTCTGAAATGTGAAATCACACAAAACGGCAAAAAGACGCGGTTTGGTTGTTTGGCGCCACAGACAGACATCAATACAACATGTGACACAATCAATAATAACCACAGAGTCAGATACAGAGGTGAAGTGCTTCTTACTGTAAAATAAACTATAAAAATATTCAGATGGATGTTGGATGAAAAAACATGTTTTCACTGGTTGTACCGAACTGGTTTTATTTCTGGGGGAAATCCTAATTTTATAAAGAGATGAGCTGAACTTTGGACACTTTTACCAAAAGTATTTGAAAATGGAATTCCAAAAAAAGGAAACTGTGTAACATCAGTCTGTGCACATAAAACATTGTAGTGTCTGTGAAGATTCTCAGTGATCCAGCTCATAGTTCTCCAAGGAGGGCAGCTGGACTGGTTGAAGACATTTCCTCTCAGATGGTCACCCTTGATTTAACCCTCTTGAATAAACTGAATTGTTGATTTTAATTCTTCATAATTATTATTGTCTGTGATACTATCCCTGTGATTATCAGTTTGTTATTGTTGTTAGGTTATTTATTCAACATTTTATTCATTTATTCATTTTCAGAATAATAACTAAGCACAGAACTCTTTTATTTCTGATGGTGTCTGCAGCTGACAGCCTCCCACCACCAGGTGGTAGTGTAACACAAACTGTTTAATAAGAACTGATTTGAAACAGTGATTCCAAAGAAATAATGTCAAATAATAATAATAATGCAAAACATAAATGCAAAATAAATTTCCTTTACCACATTGTAATCATTAAGTATAAAATAAAAGTAAATAAAAACAAGGGGTTATTTCAGTTTGTTATCATTAATCACCTGGAAGTCTTTCATGAAGTATTTATGAGCTGTTAATGATATCTCAAGTCTATATGAAAAGTGACATGAGATAACTTCTGTTATGAAACCCTAACCCTAACCCTATGAAATGAATCAAAGTCATCTTCTGTCTCCTGCAGAAACTAATTATTTTACTAAATCTTTGTAAGCCGAATGTTAAATTTAAATAATGTACTTTTTTATTATTGAAACATTCTGAAATGAAGAAATATGAAGACCCAAAAGGCTCAAATATAAATAATAATCACGTGAATAAACATAATATATAAATAAAAATATGAAATACTCCAGTAAATGTTAATCATTTAGTTGTTTGATGAGTGATCATCACATTTATAATGACACATAGCTGACTGAACAACACACAAACTGCTGTTATGAAATAAAAAAAATCCAAACATGGTAAATAAAACAGAAAAACAGACCTGTAATAAACTCTGTTATTGTTCAAATAAGCAGAATACAATTACATTTCTCTTATAAGGAACTACATTTAAAATATGTATTAAATTATTTCACACTTATTTTGTCTGTTGCTTATATATAATTATTTACTTTTTTATATTTCATTTATGGATGTAGTTTGTGTCATTTTTACACATTTTATTATATTATCATTATATTTGTTTCTTTATGTCTTATTCACTAAAAACATACATATTTACTAGTTTCTTTATTTAAACTGTGTTTATTGGTAACTCAGACACACAGATCTGTTCTGTTGAGATTTTAACAATGGTGGGAATCTGCTGTGAGTTATTGATCCTGTGTATGAATATTGTTTTGCTGTTATCACCTGTTGACACATCTCTCTCACCTCCAGTTTATTTGATATCATTTTATTTATTTTACCTTTATTTTACCAGGAAAGAAATCCATTGAGATTTTTAATGTCCTGGAATAAATGATCTGTATGATCAATGACTGTAGGAGATTTACACTTCACAAGTTGGTTGTTTGGAATTACTAATAATAAATAATCAACAATTAATAACACACACTTTATTGTTGTTTTCTGAGTCTTACCACATTTTATTCATTTTTATATCTCTGTTATGCATCTAAATAATAAAATAGTCCAACATGATCCAGGAGAATCAAAAGCACCACAACACCACCTGTGTCTGCAGAAGAAGAATCCATTCCTGTACGTCTTTATTTAAACACAGAGAGCAAAGTAAAGTGGCGAATATTAAATTCTTGTGTAACTGAAGCTGACGATCCATCGACGTGTTCAGAAGAGAAAACTGCCGGGTGACGATCCAGCAGACACTAATGAGATTGATCAGCTTGAAGTGGTGGAAACATGAGATGCTGTTTTGGGGAACAGAAGCACTTTAACAGGCGTCGACTCTGCGGCTCAGACATCCATCAGACCATCACAGTCTGCAGCTCAGTCATGAAAGACAGCAGGTCCAGCAGACAGCGGGGTCAGGAGGTAGCAGGTCCAGCAGGCAGCAGGATCAGGAGGTAGCAGGTGCAGCAGGCAGCAGGATCAGGAGGTAGCAGGTGCAGCGGGATGTGTGATCCAGCAGATGAAGGCCGATGTGCTGAGGCAGCAGGAACACGGTGTCGTCACCACAGCTGGCTGGTCACAGTAATCAGGATAAATGTCCTGGTGGTGTTTCAGTGCTGCAGCGACAACTTTCCACCTGAACTGAAGAACCTCTGAACAGCAGCCTGAAACCTGAAACCAACAGCTGCTGCAGGAGCTGACAGGTTTTCAGCTCATTCAGTCACCTCCTCTGTATGCTTAAACAAGCATCTGTTTTTCTTTTATTAACTCTGAATCAGGTGACTGTAGTACACTTCCCCTCTGGTTCTGTCTTAGTGTTGCCATCAAACAAGCTCTGATAAACCAAGCAGCAACCTCCGGGGCCAGAGGGTACCTAAATATGCAGTTCTTTGAATGTCCACTTAAAGCTGGCTCCAAATTGAGTCACTCCTCACAGACCTCCATGTTAAAAAACACAACTTTTACAGCAGAAATAACCCGCCTGATTCTCTGTAGTGAACTTCCCCTTCATGACAACTGAATATGTAATTAACTGGCTTCACAGATGCTCTTCAGAAACCTACGAGCAACATCTTGGACACTATCTCCATGTTTATACAGGCTGTGTGATAAACCCACCGAACAGTACCTGCCCAGCAGAACACACCGGTGGATCTATGGAAAAATGCTAATGTTAGCCACCTGAAGCTGCAGCCAGCAACAGTGTAACTTTGGAAGAGAAGTCTAACTGTGACTGTGCTGCATCTTAAGATAAACTGTAGAATATAATTCCACTGCGGACTTTGTCCTCCCTCACTTAGGTTAAAATCCAAGGTTCCAGAGTGTACAGAAGGAATGACAAATCAGTTTCTTTGTTGACATGCAAGCGTTGTATTGACATGTGTCCCGAAAGACTGAGGCTGTGTTTACAGAAGGAAACATGTTGTCTGCAGACCATCGTGAGAGAAACAGGATTACGTTGCTGCAGAAGTTCGTGACTCTGTCGCTGCATATTTGATGTCTATTCCCATAAAAACTTGAGCTGAACAGCTTTCTGTCCGTCTGTGTTTCTGTTTGCAGAAAGAAAAGCTGAATCTCACGTTGGAGCTGTCATGAATTACTTCTTCCCCATTGATGCCGTACACGCTAACAGCCCTTACTAATATCTATTGTAACTTGGATAAAAGCATCTGCAGACTGAGGAGCACCTCGTCCCTCAGCTCAGAGTTGTTCCAGATCTCGCGACGTGAACCTGAATCAGTTTGCTTTGATAAGAAGCTTCATGAAGCATCAAGCAACAGAAAAATCTTTTATTTGATTCTAGCCACAAACATTCCTGTTGAATGAGTGAAAGCTGATCTATCAAGTTTATCAAAGCCAAAGTTTACAGGTGAGATGACAGAGAGCCCTTCCATCAACTGAACTACAGTTTACTATGATTGTCGTTATGCACCAGAACATTTCACTACACCAGATGTACAAATTAACCACAGCTAGAAGCAATTTACAACATGCACTTCATGAAAGGTTGCATAGCTAATCACTGTTGCCCTTTAAAACTGTGCTTTTTCAGTCCAGTCGGTGGATTCTGCCCTTCTGCAAAGCACTGAAGTCAGAAAAGCCCTGTTATGTGTCCTCTGAAGTGTCTCAGAAGAGCAGAACCGTCCAGAGGAGCTCTGTTGGTATAAAATTAGCCCCGTCTTGGTTTATCGTGCTCGTCCGCCTGCAAACATTTCTAATAAAGAGAAAGGTTTCATGCAGTAACTGCTTTCTCTCTGAAACGTCCGCTGTGAGTCCAGACCAGACTCTGTGTCAGGTTCCGCTGGAGAGGAAGACTCTCGGTCGGCGATAGAAAGGACAGGCACTGAGTCGAGTGGGTCTGAGGTTCAGGTGGAGTCTGGAGTGTGAAGACCAGTCGGATCAGGAAATGGGGACAAAGTGAGACGTCTTCGCTCTGCAGGATCTCAGCAGTCTCATATTCGTACGTGGAAGTTACTGTAAAACAAATCACATAATGAGTTTCATCTGTTGAACACAGAGATTCTGCCTGTCCTGTGGGAGACTCTAACCCTGATCACAGCACCTCCACTCAGATCAGCTGGTTTTGCTGCCGTTCCCGGGCCTTTATTCAGCATTGAAAACACAGCAGTGAAAAGTCACTCCTGTCTCAGCCGCTACTTTCTCCACTCCCAGCACAACCAGCGGGCTTCGTTGCAGCTAGTCTGTGACCGGTGGTCCGGTGTGAGATACAGATTTATGGCCACGCCTTTTCTTCCCTCCTGCTAGGTTCGGGTGGAGGAGTGAAACTGCTCATTGATGAATCATCAGCAGAATAATTTTGTGGATTTTATCTCTGAGTGGACTGCAACTGTACGCCGAGTCCTGCCTAAAACACACGCAACTGACCTCAACTGAAAACACCACGATCTGTCTAACTGAACCACAATCTGTCTAATCTCTAGAGAGAAGGGTCTGTCTAATCTCTGGATGGAGACGGGTCTGTCTAATCTCTAGAGAGAGAAGGGTCTGTCTAATCTCTAGATGGAGACGGGTCTGTCTTATCTCTGGAGTGAGAGAGGTCTGTCTAATCTCTGGATGGAGACAGGTCTGTTTGATCTCTGGAGTGAGAGAGGTCTGTCTAATCTCTGAATGGAGACAGGTCTGTTTGATCTCTGGAGGGAGATGGGTCTGTCTTATCTCTAGAGAGAGATGGGTCTGTCTAATCTCTGGAGTGAGAGAGGTCTGTCTAATCTCTGGATGGAGACGGGTCGGTCTGATCTCTGGAGGAGACGGGTCTGTCTAATCTCTAGAGAGAGAAGGGTCTGTCTAATCTCTGGATGGAGACGGGTCTGTCTAATCTCTGGAGTGAGAGAGGTCTCTATAATCTCTGAATGGAGACAGGTCTGTCTGATCTCTGGAGGGAGACGGGTTTGTCTAATCTCTGGATGGAGACGGGTCTGTCTAATCTCTGGATGGAGACAGTGATTTTGGTATTTTGTCCAAGTTTAATTAAGCTCTACACTGCTGCACACGAGAGGATTTACAGATTTTCACTGATGTTAAAACCTTTGATGTTAAAGATGTAACAACAGAATGAACTGATCTTTGATATTTTTTATATAGATTTTAATATTTTAATCATAAGAATACCCACAGCAGAAACTTCGGTCCAGATGAAGGACCACATGTTGCAGAGTGGCGGTTTGTGGGATCTCACGGAATCTCGAATGAGCAAACGTGACTTTGGCGAGAAACAAACATGAACGCAGACTATCGTCATCAGCTGACATCACATGTTTTGTTCTCCAACCCTCAGTTCATCATTTGGCGCCGCCTGTAGTTACAGGTGGTAACTTCAGGTGTGCAGTATGTAATAATCCAGATGTTTGACCACTCTGACATAAAAACACTGATGTGGCTGAGGGATAATCAGAAACGGCGCCGTACCTCAGGAAGTCAGGAGCCTTTGAGATCATGTTCTCAAAGTCGGCGAAGGACAGCTTGTGGTCTCCGTCCAGGTCGGCCTCCTCGATGGCTTTATCGCACACCAGGATGACCTCCTCTGGGGTCAGCTCGCCTTTGGTCAGCTTGTTCAGAGTCTTCTTCAGGTCCTCCTTACAGATAAAGTTGTCCCTGTTGAAGTCTGAACCACAACCAGAAGATTACACATTTCATTACATCCGAGAAGAAGAACAACAACAAACACAGCTGGTGTAAAACCACTCAGCTCTGCGTGGACCATGATCCTGGACCCTGCGGGTAAACCATATCCCCATGCTGGACCATGATATTGAAGACTGCTGAATACTACCCTGCTTCTCTGTCTCAAACCGCGGTAGCTTTCCTGCTTAAAGGATGTTCACCTTCCCAGGTAAACTTTAGCACCTTTTAGCAGCAGCTCTGAGGTTTCTCACCTGAGGAGGACTCTCTCAAACATCTCACCGTAAATCTTGAAGGCGTAGATGATCTTGAGCTCTCTGGGTGAAGTTTCACAGAGGGCAGAAAACATGTCGACAAAGTCGTTGAAGCTCTGGTTCCCCTGTCCGTCCTCAGAGAACGTCTCCACAATTCTGTCTCTGAACGGGTTCTCCTGTCAGGACATTCAGACAGATGAAGTGACTCACTGCTAACCGCTAACTCTAACTGTCACCTCTACCTGTCAAATCTCTACCTGTCACCTCTACCTGTCACCTCCACCTGTCACCTCTCCACCTGTCACCTCTACCTGTCACCTCTACCTGTCACCTCCACCTGTCACCTTAACCTGTCACCTCTCCACCTGTCACCTCTACCTGTCACCTCTACCTGTCACCTCCACCTGTCACCTCTACCTGTCACTTCTACCTGTCAGCTCTCCACCTGTCACCTCTACCTGTCACCTCCACCTGTCAGCTCTACCTGTCACTTCTACCTGTCACTTCTACCTGTCAGCTCTCCACCTGTCACCTCTACCTGTCACCTCTACCTGTCACCTCTACCTGTCAGCTCTCCACCTGTCAGCTCTCCACCTGTCACCTCTACCTGTCACCTCTACCTGTCACCTCTACCTGTCAGCTCTACCTGTCACCTCCACCTGTCAGCTCTCCACCTGTCAGCTCTACCTGTCACCTCTCCACCTGTCACCTCTACCTGTCAGCTCTACCTGTCACCTCTACCTGTCACCTCTACCTGTCACCTCTCCACCTGTCACCTCTCCACCTGTCACCTCTACCTGTCAGCTCTACCTGTCACCTCTACCTGTCACCTCTACCTGTCACCTCTACCTGTCAGCTCTCCACCTATCACCTCTACCTGTCACCTCTACCTGTCACCTCCACCTGTCAGCTCTCCACCTGTCACCTTTACCTGTCACCTCTACCTGTCAGCTTTACTTGTCAGCTCTACCTGTCACCTCTACCTGTCAGCTTTACTTGTCAGCTCTACCTGTCAGCTTTACTTGTCAGCTCTACCTGTCACCTCTACCTGTCACCTCTACCTGTCAGCTCTACCTGTTACCTCTACCTGTCACCTCTACCTGTCACCTCTACCTGTCACATCTACCTGTCAGCTTTACTTGTCACCTCTTCCTGTCAGCTCTACCTGTCAGCTCTCCACCTGTCACCTCTACCTGTCAGCTTTACTTGTCACCTCTACCTGTCAGCTCTCTAACTTCAGCTCTCCACCTGTCACCTCTACTTGTCAGCTCTACCTGTCACCTCTACCTGTCACCTCTACCTGTCACCTCTACTTGTCAGCTCTACCTGTCAGCTCTCTAACTTCAGCTCTCCACCTGTCACCTCTACCTGTCAGCTTTACTTGTCAGCTCTACCTGTCACCTCTACCTGTCAGCTCCACCTGTCACCTCTAACTGTCAGCTCTCCACCTGTCACCTCTACCTGTCAGCTCTACCTGTCAGCTCTCTACCTGTCACCTCTACCGGTCACCTCTACCTGTCAGCTTTACTTGTCAGCTCTACCTGTCACCTCTACCTGTCAGCTCTACCTGTCAGCTCTACCTGTCAGCTCTACCTGTCGCCTCTCTACCTGTCAGCTCTACTTGTCAGCTCTACCTGTCACCTCTACCTGTCAGCTTTACTTGTCAGCTCTACCTGTCACCTCTACCTGTCACCTCTACCTGTCAGCTTTCCACCTGTCAGCTCTCCCTGTCAGCTCTACCTGTCAGCTCTACCTGTCAGCTCTCTACCTGTCACCTCTACCGGTCACCTCTACCTGTCAGCGTTACTTGTCAGCTCTACCTGTCACCTCTACCTGTCAGCTCTCTACCTCTCACCTCTACCGGTCACCTCTACCTGTCAGCTTTACTTGTCAGCTCTCTAAATTCAACTCTCTACCTGTCAGCTCTACCTGTCACCTCTACCTGTCAGCTCTACCTGTAACCTCTACCTGTCAGCTTTACCTGTCAGCTCTACCTGTCAGCTCTCTAACTTCAGCTCTCTACCTGTCACCTCTACCTGTCACCTCTACCTGTCAGCTTTACCTGTCAGCTCTACCTGTCACCTCTACCTGTCACCTCTACCTGTCCCCTCTACCTGTCACCTCTACCTGTCACCTCTACCTGTCAGCTCTACCTGTCAGCTTTACCTGTCAGCTCTACCTGTCAGCTCTACCTGTCCCCCTACCTGTCACCTCTACCTGTCCCCTCTACCTGTCACCTCTACCTGTCAGCTTTATTGTCAGCTCTGTAACTTCAGCTCTCTATATGTCAGCTTTACTTGTCAGCTCTAACTGTCAGCTTTACCTGTCACCTCTACCTGTCAGCTTTACTTGTCAGCTCTACCTGTCAGCTTTACTTGTCAGCTCTACCTGTCAGCTTTACTTGTCAGCTCTAACTGTCAGCTTTACCTGTCACCTCTACCTGTCACCTCTACCTGTCACCTCTACCTGTCAGCTTTACTTGTCAGCTCTACCTTTCACCTCTCTACCTGTCACCTCTACCTGTCAGCTTTACTTGTCAGCTTTACTTGTCAGCTCTACCTGTCACCTCTACCTGTCAGCTTTACTTGTCAGCTCTACCTTTCACCTCTCTACCTGTCACCTCTACCTGTCAGCTTTACTTGTCAGCTCTACCTGTCACCTCTACCTGTCAGCTTTACTTGTCAGCTCTACCTGTCACCTCTACCTGTCAGCTCTCTAACTTCAGCTCTCTATCTGTCACCTCTACCTGTCAGCTCTCTAACTTCAGCTCTCTATCTGTCAGCTCTACCTGTCAGCTCTCTAACTTCAGCTCTCTACCTGTCAGCTTTACTTGTCAGCTCTACCTGTCAGCTCTACCTGTTACCTCTACCTGTCAGCTTTACTTGTCAGCTCTACCTGTCAGCTCTCTAACTTCAGCTCTCTACCTGTCAGCTCTGTAACTTCAGCTCTCTACCTGTCAGCTCTCTAACTTCAGCTCTCTACCTGTCAGCTCTACCTGTCAGCTCTCTAACTTCTGCTCTCTATCTGTCACCTCTACCTGTCAGCTCTACCTGTCACCTCTACCTGTCAGCTTTACTTGTCAGCTCTCTAACTTCAGCTCTCCACCTGTCACCTCTACCTGTCAGCTTTACTTGTCAGCTCTACCTGTCACCTCTACCTGTCAGCTCTACCTGTCAGCTCTCTACGTGTCACCTATACCTGTCACCTCTACCTGTCAGCTTTACTTGTCAGCTCTACCTGTCACCTCTACCTGTCAGCTCTACCTGTCAGCTCTCTACCTGTCACCTCTACCTGTCAGCTCTACCTGTCACCTCTACCTGTCAGCTTTACTTGTCAGCTCTACCTGTCACCTCTACCTGTCAGCTCTCTACCTGTCACACCTACCTGTCAGCTTTACTTGTCAGCTCTACCTGTCACCTCTACCTGTCAGCTCTACCTGTCACCTCTACCTGTCAGCTTTACTTGTCAGCTCTACCTGTCACCTCTACCTGTCAGCTCTCCACCTGTCACCTCTACCTGTCAGCTCTACCTGTCACCTCTACCTGTCAGCTCTCTACCTGTCAGCTTTACTTGTCAGCTCTCTAAATTCAACTCTCTACCTGTCAGCTCTCTAACTTCAGCTCTCTGTCACCTCTACCTGTCAGCTTTACCTGTCAGCTCTACCTGTCAGCTCTCTAACTTCAGCTCTCTATCTGTCACCTCTACCTGTCAGCTCTCTAACTTCAGCTCTCTGTCACCTCTACCTGTCAGCTTTACCTGTCAGCTCTACCTGTCAGCTCTCTAACTTCAGCTCTCTATCTGTCACCTCTACCTGTCAGCTCTACCTGTCACCTCTACCCGTCCCCTCTACCTGTCACCTCTACCTGTCACCTCTACCCGTCCCCTCTACCTGTCACCTCTACCTGTCAGCTTTAATTGTCAGCTCTAACTGTCAGCTTTACCTGTCACCTCTACCTGTCAGCTTTACTTGTCAGCTCTACCTGTCACCTCTACCTGTCACCTCTACCTGTCAACTCTACCTGTCACCTCTACCTGTCACCTCTACCTGTCAACTCTACCTGTCAGCTTTACTTGTCAGCTTTACCTGTCAACTCTACCTGTCAGCTTTACTTGTCAGCTTTACCTGTCACCTCTACCTGTCACCTCTACCTGTCAACTCTACCTGTCACCTCTACCTGTCAGCTTTACTTGTCAGCTTTACCTGTCACCTCTACCTGTCACCTCTACCTGTCAGCTTTACTTGTCAGCTCTACCTGTCAGCTTTACTTGTCAGCTCTACCTGTCACCTCTACCTGTCAACTCTACCTGTCAGCTTGACTTGTCAGCTCTACCTGTCAGCTCTCTAACTTCAGCTCTCTGTCAGCTCTACCTGTCAGCTTTACTTGTCAGCTCTACCTGTCACCTCTCTAACTTCAACTCTCTACCTGTCACCTCTACCTGTCACCTCTACCTGTCAGCTCTCTATCTGTCACCTCTACCTGTCACCTCTACCTGTCAGCTTTACTTGTCAGCTCTACCTGTCAGCTCTCTAACTTCAGCTCTCTATCTGTCAGCTCTACCTGTCAGCTTTACTTGTCAGCTCTACCTGTCACCTCTCTAACTTCAACTCTCTACCTGTCAGCTTTACTTGTCAGCTCTATCTGTCAGCTCTCTAATTTCAGCTCTCTACCTGTCAGCTTTACTTGTCAGCTCTACCTGTCACCTCTCTAACTTCAACTCTCTACCTGTCAGCTCTACCTGTTACCTCTACCTGTCAGCTTTACTTGTCAGCTCTACCTGTCAGCTCTCTAACTTCAGCTCTCTAACTTCAGCTCTCTACCTGTCAGCTCTACCTGTCAGCTCTCTAACTTCAGCTCTCTATCTGTCACCTCTACCTGTCAGCTCTACCTGTCAGCTCTACCTGTCAGCTTTACTTGTCAGCTCTACCTGTCAGCTCTCTAACTTCAGCTCTCTACCTGTCAGCTCTACCTGTCAGCTCTCTAACTTCAGCTCTCTGTCACCTCTACCTGTCAGCTCTACCTGTCAGCTCTACCTGTCACCTCTACCTGTCACCTCTATCTGTCACCTCTACCTGTCAGCTCTCTACCTGTCAGCTCTCTATACCTGTCACCTCTACCTGTCAGCTCTACCTGTCAGCTCTACCTGTCACCTCTACCTGTCAGCTCTACCTGTCAGCTCTACCTGTCAGCTCTACCTGTCACCTCTACCTGTCACCTCTATCTGTCACCTCTACCTGTCAGCTCTCTACCTGTCAGCTCTCTATACCTGTCACCTCTACCTGTCAGCTCTACCTGTCAGCTCTACCTGTCACCTCTACCTGTCAGCTCTACCTGTCAGCTCTACCTGTCACCTCTACCTGTCAGCTCTACCTGTCAGCTCTCCCTGTCAGCTCTACCTGTCACCTCTACCTGTTAGCTCTCTACCTGTTAGCTCTCTACCTGTCAGCTCTCTATCTGTCAGCTTTACTTGTCAGCTCTACCTGTCAGCTCTCTACCTGTCACCTCTACCTGTCAGCTCTACCTGTCAGCTCTACCTGTCACCTCTACCTGTTAGCTCTCTATCTGTCAGCTTTACTTGTCAGCTCTACCTGTCACCTCTACCTGTCACCTCTACCTGTCAGCTTTACTTGTCAGCTCTACCTGTCACCTCTCTACCTGTCAGCTCTACCTGTCAGCTCTTTAACTTCAGCTCTCTATCTGTCAGCTCTACCTGTCACCTCTACCTGTCAGCTTTACTTGTCAGCTCTACCTGTCACCTCTCTACCTGTCAGCTCTCTAACTTCAGCTCTCTATCTGTCACCTCTACCTGTCAGCTTTACTTGTCAGCTCTACCTGTCAGCTTTACTTGTCAGCTCTACCTGTCAGCTCTCTAACTTCAGCTCTCTACCTGTCAGCTCTACCTGTCACCTCTACCTGTCAGCTTTACTTGTCAGCTCTACCTGTCACCTCTCTAACTTCAGCTCTCTACCTGTCACCTCTACCTGTCAGCTTTACTTGTCAGCTCTACCTGTCACCTCTCTAACTTCAGCTCTCTACCTGTCAGCTCTACCTGTCAGCTCTCTACCTGTCAGCTCTACCTGTCACCTCTCTAACTTCAGCTCTCTACCTGTCAGCTCTACCTGTTCCCTCTCTAACTTCAGCTCTCTACCTGTCACCTCTCTAACTTCAGCTCTCTACCTGTCAGCTCTACCTGTTCCCTCTCTAACTTCAGCTCTCTACCTGTCACCTCTCTAACTTCAGCTCTCTACCTGTCAGCTCTACCTGTCACCTCTCTAACTTCAGCTCTCTACCTGTCAGCTCTACCTGTCAGCTCTCTACCTGTCAGCTCTACCTGTCAGCTCTACCTGTCACCTCTACCTGTCAGCTATCTACCTGTCACCTCTACCTGTCAGCTCTACCTGTCAGCTATCTATCTGTCAGCTCTACCTGTCACCTCTACCTGTCAGCTTTACTTGTCAGCTCTACCTGTCAGCTCTCTAACTTCAGCTCTCTACCTGTCACCTCTACCTGTCAGCTTTACTTGTCAGCTCTACCTGTCACCTCTCTACCTGTCACCTCTACCTGTCAGCTCTCTACCTGTCACCTCTACCTGTCACCTCTCTAACTTCAGCTCTTTACCTGTCACCTCTCTAACTTCAGCTCTCTACCTGTCAGCTCTACCTGTCAGCTCTCTACCTGTCAGCTCTACCTGTCACCTCTCTAACTTCAGCTCTCTACCTGTCAGCTCTACCTGTTCCCTCTCTAACTTCAGCTCTCTACCTGTCACCTCTCTAACTTCAGCTCTCTACCTGTCAGCTCTACCTGTTCCCTCTCTAACTTCAGCTCTCTACCTGTCAGCTCTACCTGTTCCCTCTCTAACTTCAGCTCTCTACCTGTCACCTCTCTAACTTCAGCTCTCTACCTGTCAGCTCTACCTGTTCCCTCTCTAACTTCAGCTCTCTACCTGTCACCTCTCTAACTTCAGCTCTCTACCTGTTAGCTCTACCTGTCACCTCTCTAACTTCAGCTCTCTACCTGTCAGCTCTCTACCTGTCAGCTCTACCTGTCACCTCTACCTGTCAGCTATCTACCTGTCACCTCTACCTGTCAGCTCTACCTGTCACCTCTACCTGTCAGCTATCTATCTGTCAGCTCTACCTGTCAGCTCTACCGTTCAGCTTTACCTGTCACCTCTCTAACTTCAGCTCTCTACCTGTCAGCTCTACCTGTCACCTCTCTAACTTCAGCTCTCTACCTGTCAGCTCTACCTGTCAGCTCTACCTGTCCCCTCTCTAACTTCAGCTCTCTACCTGTCACCTCTCTAACTTCAGCTCTCTACCTGTCAGCTCTACCTGTCAGCTCTCTACCTGTCAGCTCTACCTGTCACCTCTCTAACTTCAGCTCTCTACCTGTCAGCTCTACCTGTTCCCTCTCTAACTTCAGCTCTCTACCTGTCACCTCTCTAACTTCAGCTCTCTACCTGTCAGCTCTACCTGTTCCCTCTCTAACTTCAGCTCTCTACCTGTCACCTCTTTAACTTCAGCTCTCTACCTGTCAGCTCTACCTGTCACCTCTCTAACTTCAGGTCTCTACCTGTCAGCTCTACCTGTCAGCTCTCTACCTGTCAGCTCTCTACCTGTCAGCTCTACCTGTCAGCTTTACCTGTCACCTCTCTAACTTCAGCTCTCTACCTGTCAGCTCTACCTGTCACCTCTCTAACTTCAGCTCTCTACCTGTCAGCTCTACCTGTCACCTCTCTAACTTCAGCTCTCTACCTGTCAGCTCTACCTGTCAGCTCTACCTGTCACCTCTACCTGTCACCTCTACCTGTCACCTCTCTAACATCAGCTCTCTACCTGTCACCTCTCTAACTTCAGCTCTCTACCTGTCAGCTCTACCTGTCAGCTCTACCTGTCAGCTCTCTACCTGTCAGCTCTACCTGTCACCTCTCTAACTTCAGCTCTCTACCTGTCAGCTCTACCTGTTCCCTCTCTAACTTCAGCTCTCTACCTGTCACCTCTCTAACTTCAGCTCTCTACCTGTCAGCTCTACCTGTTCCCTCTCTAACTTCAGCTCTCTACCTGTCACCTCTCTAACTTCAGCTCTCTACCTGTCAGCTCTACCTGTCACCTCTCTAACTTCAGCTCTCTACCTGTCAGCTCTACCTGTCAGCTCTCTACCTGTCAGCTCTCTACCTGTCAGCTCTACCTGTCAGCTTTACCTGTCACCTCTCTAACTTCAGCTCTCTACCTGTCAGCTCTACCTGTCACCTCTCTAACTTCAGCTCTCTACCTGTCAGCTCTACCTGTCACCTCTCTAACTTCAGCTCTCTACCTGTCAGCTCTACCTGTCACCTCTACCTGTCAGCTCTACCTGTCAGCTCTACCTGTCACCTCTACCTGTCACCTCTCTAACATCAGCTCTCTACCTGTCACCTCTAACTTCAGCTCTCTACCTGTCAGCTCTACCTGTCAGCTCTACCTGTCAGCTCTCTACCTGTCAGCTCTACCTGTCACCTCTCTAACTTCAGCTCTCTACCTGTCAGCTCTACCTGTTCCCTCTCTAACTTCAGCTCTCTACCTGTCACCTCTCTAACTTCAGCTCTCTACCTGTCAGCTCTACCTGTTCCCTCTCTAACTTCAGCTCTCTACCTGTCACCTCTCTAACTTCAGCTCTCTACCTGTCAGCTCTACCTGTCACCTCTCTAACTCAGCTCTCTACCTGTCAGCTCTACCTGTCAGCTCTCTACCTGTCAGCTCTCTACCTGTCAGCTCTACCTGTCAGCTTTACCTGTCACCTCTCTAACTTCAGCTCTCTACCTGTCAGCTCTACCTGTCACCTCTCTAACTTCAGCTCTCTACCTGTCAGCTCTACCTGTCACCTCTCTAACTTCAGCTCTCTACCTGTCAGCTCTACCTGTCACCTCTACCTGTCAGCTCTACCTGTCACCTCTATCTGTCACCTCTACCTGTCAGCTATCTACCTTCAGCTCCGGCATGCTGACGATGAGCGTCAGAGGAACTCTGATGTCGGGGTTGTTGTAATCCAGCGGCACTAAGTGAGGAGCCAACTCTCGGTACCTGCCATGTAGCCTGCAGAGGACAAGGGACAGAGGACAAAGGGCAGAGGATAAGGGACAGGGGATAGAGGATAGGGGACAGAGGACAGGGCACAGAGGAAAGGAAAAGGACAAGGACAGGGATAAGGGCAGAGGATAGGGACAGGGGACAGAGGACAGTGGACAGAGGACAGTGGACATGGGACAGAGGACAAGAGACAGGGGACAGAGGATAGTGGACAGTGGACAGAGGACAGTGGACAGAGACAGAGGGACAGGGGACAGAGGACAGTGGATAGGGGACAGAGGACAGTGGATAGGGACAGAGGACAGCGGACATGGGCGAAAGACAGGGGACAGGTGTCATACAGAGAGGTAGACAGACAGAGTGTCCCGAGCATAGGTGGAAATCGGGGGGGGGGGGGGGGGGGGGGGGGGGGTCAGGACCTTCCCAATCTGAGGGTCCACCCCCTAAAACCTAATTAAATAATATAATGATATTGACTTAAAATAATTGTGCAAGCTGTAAAACAATACAAACAGTGCAACACCATTAGCTTTAATTAATTAATTAAGTTTAGGAACACTTAGAGTCCCCCTCTCTTCCCTCACAGTGGTTTGGTCCAGTGCTGCTGTCCCCCTTTACTCGCCTGCACACAGTCTGGGAGGAGTCCAGTAAGTAACCGACTACTTTAAGAATCCTCTATACAACTTTATAGGGAAAGCCCATAATGCCAAGATGGCGGTTATCCCGCCCCTCCTGTTAGAAAGCCAATTGTCTGCTTTTAACATCTGAGGCAGGAAACATATTTCAGCCAATCGTGTGGCTCCCCTGACGGAAGGGTCTGCTCTATGTGTAGTAGAAGTATGACCTGCGGGGAAAAACACTTTTCAAACCTTATTTTGGGGCAAAGTCATGAAACTGTCTGCCTGTTCATTTAAAGAGAGACCTGATCCTGTTAGTCTGAGGCCTTACCAAGATGGCTGCAGAGAGGCGAGACTCACCTCTAAGGACTTTGGTTAAACTGTGATCTTCTGTTGGGATTATGATGTTAAGTGGCAGCTCAGCTGCAGCTGAAATATCTGAGTAAGAGACGAGGTAATTTAATAATTATAATATGACCCCGTGTTGAACCTAACTATAGCTTTGTGTTGTTGACCAGATAAACTCACAGAGAAAGAAAAAAGGACAAGAGATAGTTTTTCAGTTACTCTGGAACATCACGTCTCCATGCTGCTTAATAACAGTAAGGTCCCCCAGCTGTTAGATGAATGTGCGCCCCTGGTCCTGGGTGGATGTAATAACCAGCTGCAGGAGTCCTTCTCTGACATTAACGTCAGTCAGCTGACCTGTGGCTCCGCCCCCTCACTCTGCCGTGATGAAGGTGTGATTTCTGAACAACAACTCACCGCAGGACTTCTTTCCTGGTGAAGAAGGTGCAGTCCTGTGGACAGACAGAGAGACAGTGAGAGGACGCAGAGAGGCTGGAGCTCAGCAATCAGCAGCAGGAGAGACGCCCTGCACGCTCTGCTGTCCTGTCGACCCCCGTACACAAAACAGACACACCTTATAAAGCAGGACCCGGTCCCCGTTATTATATGAACCGTGCAGAGTCACCTGATAGGCCTCCAGCTGCTCGTCGGTGAACGTGGTCTGCTTGTTGCCCATCCTGCTCGGCGGACATCACACAGCTGCATCACACTGGAGGCTGCAGCTGCTCTGAGGTCCGTTTACATCCATCCAGGTCCACAGGTTCCGGTCCAGCTGCTGGTCTGACGTCCACACTCCTGGTCCGGGTTTAGCTCCTCTCCGCTGAGGAAAAGGGGATTTTTCACTCCTCAGCGGTGCGGGAGGAGGCGGTGCGGGTACCAGCGCGCTGCTTTCAGGTGCGGCTCGTACAACCCGGCTTTCATGGGGGAAGTGGCAGGCACGTGTCTCTGTTATTTCAAAGTTACTCTGTTATTTTATTGTGACATTTTCCGACTGAGACTTTATTTGTAATCTCACTTTCAGGAAGTCAATGTCACAAAGTCCCGCCCTTCGTATTTTAGCCAATAAATTCTGACTGTTCCTGAAGGCAGCACACACACACACACACACACACACACACACACACACACACACACACAGATTTAATCAGGGCTCTGTGAACTCGTTTGGCTTCAGAATCAGAATCAGAAATACTTTATTGATTGATGAAGTATAAATATACAATATAAAGAAACAATAAAGGAGTGTGGATCTGTACAATATTAAATTATTAACAGAATTGTAATGAAGAACGGTAGTAGTGAATAATAGTAGTAATAATGAGTACTGGTAGAGCTCATGTGGGATGGATTACAAATCCTTAAAAATCCTTAAACAGGGCAGTATAAAGGTTAAAAACTGCAGTATTGGGATCAGAAGAAGAGTTGAGAAAGAAGCTGTGACTCCTCTTCCTCACAGATCAGAGTGACTCCTCTTCCTCACAGAGGATCTTTGTGACTCCCTTCCTCACAGATCAGAGTGACTCCTCTTCCTCACAGAGGATCTTTGTGACTCCTCTTCCTCACAGATCAGAGTGACTCCTCTTCCTCACAGAGGATCTTTGTGACTACTCCTGCTCTCAGATCAGAGTGACTCCTCTTCCTCTTAGAGGATCTTTGTGCCTCCTCTTCCTCACAGATCTTTGTGACTCCTCTTCCTCTCAGAGGATCTTTGTGACTCCTCTTCCTCACAGATCAGAGTGACTCCTCTTCCTCTTAGAGGATCTTTGTGCCTCCTCTTCCTCACAGATCTTTGTGACTCCTCTTCCTCTCAGAGGATCTTTGTACTCCTCTTCCTCACAGATCAGAGTGCCTCCTCTTCCTCACAGAGGATCTTTGTGACTACTCCTGCTCTCAGATCAGAGTGACTCCTCTTCCTCACAGAGGATCTTTGTGACTCCTCTTCATCTTAGATCAGAGTGACTCCTCTTCCTCACAGAGGATCTTGTGACTCCTCTTCCTCTCAGAGGATCTTGTGCCTCCTCTTCCTCACAGATCAGAGTGACTCCTCTTCCTCACAGAGGATCTTGTGACTCCTCTTCATCTTAGATCAGAGTGACTCCTCTTCCTCTTAGAGGATCTTTGTGCCTCCTCTTCCTCACAGATCAGAGTGACTCCTCTTCCTCACAGAGGATCTTTGTGACTCCTCTTCCTCTCAGATCAGAGTAACTCCACTTCCTCTTAGAGGATCTTTGTGCCTCTCTTCCTCACAGATCAGAGTGACTCCTCTTCCTCTTAGAGGATCTTTGTGCCTCCTCTTCCTCACAGATCAGAGTGACTCCTTCCTTACAGAGGATCTTTGTGACTCCTCTTCATCTTAGATCAGAGTGACTCCTCTTCCTCACAGAGGATCTTTGTGACTCCTCTTCCTCACAGATCAGAGTGACTCTCTTCATCTTAGATCAGAGTGACTCTCTTTTCACAGAGGATCTTTGTGACTCCTCTTCATCTTAGATCAGAGTGACTCCTCTTCCTCTTAGAGGATCTTTGTGACTCCTCTTCCTCTCAGATCAGAGTGACTCCTCTTCCTCACAGAGGATCTTTGTGACTCCTCTTCATCTTAGATCAGAGTGACTCCTCTTCCTCTTAGAGGATCTTTGTGACTCCTCTTCCTCACAGATCAGAGTGACTCCTCTTCCTCACAGAGGATCTTTGTGACTCCTCTTCCTCTTAGAGGATCTTTGTGCCTCCTCTTCCTCACAGATCTTTGTGACTCCTCTTCCTCTCAGAGGATCTTTGTAACTCCTCTTCCTCACAGATCAGAGTGACTCCTCTTCCTCTTAGAGGATCTTTGTGCCTCCTCTTCCTCACAGATCTTTGTGACTCCTCTTCCTCTCAGAGGATCTTTGTAACTCCTCTTCCTCACAGATCAGAGTGCCTCCTCTTCCTCACAGAGGATCTTTGTGACTACTCCTGCTCTCAGATCAGAGTGACTCCTCTTCCTCACAGAGGATCTTTGTGACTCCTCTTCATCTTAGATCAGAGTGACTCCTCTTCCTCACAGAGGATCTTTGTGACTCCTCTTCCTCTCAGAGGATCTTTGTGCCTCCTCTTCCTCACAGATCAGAGTGACTCCTCTTCCTCACAGAGGATCTTTGTGACTCCTCTTCAGCTTAGATCAGAGTGACTCCTCTTCCTCTTAGAGGATCTTTGTGCCTCCTCTTCCTCACAGATCAGAGTGATTCCTCTTCCTCACAGAGGATCTTTGTGACTCCTCTTCCTCTCAGATCAGAGTAACTCCACTTCCTCTTAGAGGATCTTTGTGCCTCCTCTTCCTCACAGATCAGAGTGACTCCTCTTCCTCTTAGAGGATCTTTGTGCCTCCTCTTCCTCACAGATCAGAGTGACTCCTCTTCCTTACAGAGGATCTTTGTGACTCCTCTTCATCTTAGATCAGAGTGACTCCTCTTCCTCACAGAGGATCTTTGTGACTCCTCTTCCTCACAGATCAGAGTGACTCCTCTTCATCTTAGATCAGAGTGACTCCTCTTTCTCACAGAGGATCTTTGTGACTCCTCTTCATCTTAGATCAGAGTGACTCCTCTTCCTCTTAGAGGATCTTTGTGACTCCTCTTCCTCTCAGATCAGAGTGACTCCTCTTCCTCACAGAGGATCTTTGTGACTCCTCTTCATCTTAGATCAGAGTGACTCCTCTTCCTCTTAGAGGATCTTTGTGACTCCTCTTCCTCACAGATCAGAGTGACTCCTCTTCCTCACAGAGGATCTTTGTGACTCCTCTTCCTCTCAGATCAGAGTGACTCATCTTCCTCACAGAGGATCTTTGTGACTCCTCTTCATCTTAGATCAGAGTGACTCCTCTTCCTCTTAGAGGATCTTTGTGCCTCCTCTTCCTCACAGATCAGAGTGACTCCTCTTCCTCTTAGAGGATCTTTGTGCCTCCTCTTCCTCACAGATCAGAGTGACTCCTCTTCCTTACAGAGGATCTTTGTGACTCCTCTTCATCTTAGATCAGAGTGACTCTCTTCCTCACAGAGGATCTTTGTGACTCCTCTTCCTCTCAGATCAGAGTGACTCCTCTTCCTCACAGAGGATCTTTGTGACTCCTCTTCCTCACAGATCAGAGTGACTCCTCTTCCTTACAGAGGATCTTTGTGACTCCTCTTCATCTTAGATCAGAGTGACTCCTCTTCCTCTTAGAGGATCTTTGTGACTCCTCTTCCTCTCAGATCAGAGTGACTCCTCTTCCTCACAGAGGATCTTTGTGACTCCTCTTCCTCACAGATCAGAGTGACTCCTCTTCCTTACAGAGGATCTTTGTGACTCCTCTTCATCTTAGATCAGAGTGACTCCTCTTCCTCTTAGAGGATCTTTGTGACTCCTCTTCCTCTCAGATCAGAGTGACTCCTCTTCCTCACAGAGGATCTTTGTGACTCCTCTTCCTCACAGATCAGAGTGACTCCTCTTCCTCACAGAGGATCTTTGTGACTCCTCTTCCTCACAGATCAGAGTGACTCCTCTTCCTCACAGATCAGAGTGACTCCTCTTCCTCACAGACGATCTTTGTGACTCCTCTTCATCTTAGATCAGAGTGACTCCTCTTCCTCTTAGAGGATCTTTGTGCCTCCTCTTCCTCACAGATCAGAGTGACTCCTCTTCATCTTAGATCAGAGTGACTCCTCTTCCTCACAGAGGATCTTTGTGACTCCTCTTCATCTTAGATCAGAGTGACTCCTCTTCCTCACAGAGGATCTTTGTGACTCCTCTTCCTCACAGATCAGAGTGACTCCTCTTCCTCACAGACGATCTTTGTGACTCCTCTTCCTCACAGATCAGAGTGACTCCTCTTCCTCACAGACGATCTTTGTGACTCCTCTTCATCTTAGATCAGAGTGACTCCTCTTCCTCACAGAGGATCTTTGTGCCTCCTCTTCCTCACAGATCAGAGTGACTCCTCTTCCTCACAGAGGATCTTTGTGCCTCCTCTTCATCACAGATCAGAGTGACTCCTCTTCCTCACAGAGGATCTTTGTGACTCCTCTTCCTCACAGATCAGAGTGACTCCTCTTCCTCACAGAGGATCTTTGTGACTCCTCTTCATCTTAGATCAGAGTGACTCCTCTTCCTCACAGAGGATCTTTGTGCCTCCTCTTCCTCACAGATCAGAGTGACTCCTCTTCCTCACAGAGGATCTTTGTGCCTCCTCTTCCTCACAGATCAGAGTGACTCCTCTTCCTTACAGAGGATCTTTGTGACTCCTCTTCCTCACAGATCAGAGTGACTCCTCTTCCTCACAGAGGATCTTTGTGACTCCTCTTCCTCACAGATCAGAGTGACTCCTCTTCATCTTAGATCAGAGTGACTCCTCTTCCTCACAGAGGATCTTTGTGACTCCTCTTCATCTTAGATCAGAGTGACTCCTCTTCCTCACAGAGGATCTTTGTGACTCCTCTTCCTCTCAGATCAGAGTGACTCCTCTTCCTCACAGAGGATCTTTGTGACTCCTCTTCCTCACAGATCAGAGTGACTCCTCTTCCTCACAGAGGATCTTTGTGACTCCTCTTCCTCTTAGAGGATCTTTGTGCCTCCTCTTCCTCACAGATCTTTGTGACTCCTCTTCCTCTCAGAGGATCTTTGTGACTCCTCTTCCTCACAGATCAGAGTGACTCCTCTTCCTCACAGAGGATCTTTGTGACTCCTCTTCCTCACAGATCAGAGTGACTCCTCTTCCTCACAGAGGATCTTTGTGACTCCTCTTCATCTTAGATCAGAGTGACTCCTCTTCCTCACAGAGGATCTTTGTGACTACTCCTGCTCTCAGATCAGAGTGACTCCTCTTCCTCATAGAGGATCTTTGTGACTACTCCTGCTCTCAGATCAGAGTGACTCCTCTTCCTCACAGAGGATCTTTGTGACTCCTCTTCATCTTAGATCAGAGTGACAGCTCTTCCTCACAGAGGATCTTTGTGACTCCTCTTCCTCTCAGATCAGAGTGACTCCTCTTCCTTACAGAGGATCTTTGTGACTCCTCTTCATCTTAGATCAGAGTGACAGCTCTTCCTCACAGAGGATCTTTGTGACTCCTCTTCCTCACAGATCAGAGTGACTCCTCTTCATCTTAGATCAGAGTGACTCCTCTTCCTCACAGAGGATCTTTGTGACTCCTCTTCATCTTAGATCAGAGTGACAGCTCTTCCTCACAGAGGATCTTTGTGACTCCTCTTCCTCTCAGATCAGAGTGACTCCTCTTCCTCACAGAGGATCTTTGTGACTCCTCTTCCTCACAGATCAGAGTGACTCCTCTTCATCTTAGATCAGAGTGACTCCTCTTCCTCACAGAGGATCTTTGTGACTCCTCTTCATCTTAGATCAGAGTGACTCCTCTTCCTCACAGAGGATCTTTGTGACTACTCCTGCTCTCAGATCAGAGTGACTCCTCTTCCTCACAGAGGATCTTTGTGACTCCTCTTCATCTTAGATCAGAGTGACAGCTCTTCCTCACAGAGGATCTTTGTGACTCCTCTTCCTCACAGATCAGAGTGACTCCTCTTCATCTTAGATCAGAGTGACTCCTCTTCCTCACAGAGGATCTTTGTGACTCCTCTTCATCTTAGATCAGAGTGACAGCTCTTCCTCACAGAGGATCTTTGTGACTCCTCTTCCTCTCAGATCAGAGTGACTCCTCTTCCTCACAGAGGATCTTTGTGACTCCTCTTCCTCACAGATCAGAGTGACTCCTCTTCATCTTAGATCAGAGTGACTCCTCTTCCTCACAGAGGATCTTTGTGACTCCTCTTCATCTTAGATCAGAGTGACTCCTCTTCCTCACAGAGGATCTTTGTGACTACTCCTGCTCTCAGATCAGAGTGACTCCTCTTCCTCACAGAGGATCTTTGTGACTACTCCTGCTCTCAGATCAGAGTGACTCCTCTTCCTCACAGAGGATCTTTGTGACTCCTCTTCATCTTAGATCAGAGTGACAGCTCTTCCTCACAGAGGATCTTTGTGACTCCTCTTCCTCACAGATCAGAGTGACTCCTCTTCATCTTAGATCAGAGTGACTCCTCTTCCTCACAGAGGATCTTTGTGACTCCTCTTCATCTTAGATCAGAGTGACAGCTCTTCCTCACAGAGGATCTTTGTGACTCCTCTTCCTCTCAGATCAGAGTGACTCCTCTTCCTCACAGAGGATCTTTGTGACTCCTCTTCCTCACAGATCAGAGTGACTCCTCTTCATCTTAGATCAGAGTGACTCCTCTTCCTCACAGAGGATCTTTGTGACTCCTCTTCATCTTAGATCAGAGTGACTCCTCTTCCTCACAGAGGATCTTTGTGACTACTCCTGCTCTCAGATCAGAGTGACTCCTCTTCCTCACAGAGGATCTTTGTGACTACTCCTGCTCTCAGATCAGAGTGACTCCTCTTCCTCACAGAGGATCTTTGTGACTCCTCTTCCGCAGCAGAATGGCAGGCAGCGCGTGGAGGTCAATGGTAAGATATAGCTGATTTATAACGAACAGAGAACCCTGAGGAGGAGTCAAACAGTCTGGTTCTGTGGGTTCTTTGTGAGCGGACGTGTCGGCTGTTCTGTTGTTTTGTTGTGCGGGTTCGAGTCTCTGAAAGCGGCTTTAACCGCTGTCGTTAGCTCGTTAGCATATCAGCTAACTCCTGCGTGTCCTTCAACGTGATGAGAGATGCAGGAGCTAGCAGAGCTAGCAGAGCTCACTGTTGTTGTTCACCGGGTCTGTCACGACTTTCTCCGCATGTTCACTAACACCACCGGGAAACTACAAACTGTCACCGCCGGCCGAGGCTCCGGTGAGGCGGCCGAGACTCCTGTAGAGAATCTGCTAATTTAAGGTTCCTTCGCACTTTGGGCAAAATCCAAACCGCGTAGAAAAGAAAAGAAGAGTTGAGAAAGAAGCTGTGTTCCCACTGTTAAATTCGGCTAACATGAAATCCTCCGTAGAGCTCTGAAGTTTTGTCCAAATACACACAAAATGAGGAAACAAGACAACATGTCCCTCCTGTGGGACAGGACGGACACAGAAAGATGAAGATAAACAGGGGAAACGTTAACATACGTGTTTTCTTCCCGATACTACTGGAATTAACATCAGACCTTTCTCTGAATCCGTGATGGTGAAACCGGTTAGTCACTAAAAGTTCACTGGAAGTGAATAACATGAAGACTTTGTTGGTTTATTCTAATAATAATTTATGATAATCACCGTTTCTATCGACCTGCTGTTCATCGATAACAAAGAACCCTGAAACTAACGAATACCTGTGCAGACAGCTTTTAGTGAAACACAGGAAGTGAAAGCGTTTGTGGTTAAAGTGACCTTCATGTCTCCTCAGCTGACCCAGGTGGTGGTGGGGGCCCTCAGGAGACCCGCTCTGTCTTCAGCTGCCTTTTCCAGAGGGGTGAGTAGTTCAGGGTCCAACCGGACACCAGCCTGCTGTGACACACACACACACACACACACACACACACACACGCACAGTGAACCCCAGGTTGCTCCTGAAGGTGTGGTCAGAGTGTGATTGGGTGGTGATGGAGCAGTGGATAAGACGTGCCTTTGGTGTGAGAGACCCTGGTTCAATCCCCCACTGTGACCCATCCACCAGTGTGTCCCTGATCAAGACACTTAAAGGCGTGCGACCTCTGATAAATCTGCGTGATATGATCTGCTGATATGAGCCAACTGCAGATAAATCAATACCTGATTAATTAATGATTAGAAAAGAGGTTGATGCTTCAGTCACGTTGGGAGTGTTGTTGTTGCATAGTTTGTCCACCAGGAGGCGCTCAGCAACAGACCCACCTCAGCTGATCAGCTGTTGATTATTTTAGGAGTCACTGAATTTTCTTGGTGAAACGTTTTTATAACGATCAACAGATTATTTTAAGCTGTCGTGTTTTCTCGCTGAGGTCAGAACGACATGAACTCGCGTTCAAAAATCTAATGGCCGATAAATCAGATTTTTTTTTAATCAGCCGCCACGGCGAGTCTCTCACGCCGCTGTCTCTCTGTCTGCAGATGCAGACCGTCACTCTGATTCCTGGAGACGGGATCGGGCCGGAGATCTCCACGGCGGTCATGAAGATCTTTGAAGCGGCCAAAGTGAGTGTTCTGAAGAAGCGGCGGACCTGGTGAGTTTCAGAAGCTTTTCAACGTGTTCTTTTGACCCGCAGGCTCCAATCAGGTGGGAGGAGAGGAACGTGACGGCCATCAAGGGACCCGGCGGCAGATGGATGATCCCTCCGGACGCCAAAGAGTCCATGGACCAGAACAAGATCGGACTGAAAGGTCTGGTGAGGCTCAGAGCTGCGCTTCAGATTCAGTTTTCTGTGAGTGCCCCCTAAACGTTGTGTCCTCCAGGACCCCTGAAGACGCCCATCGCCGCAGGTCACCCCTCCATGAACCTGCTCCTGAGGAAGACCTTCGACCTTTACGCCAACGTGCGACCCTGCATCTCCATCGAGGGCTACAAGACCCCGTACACCGACGTCAACCTGGTGACCATCCGAGAGAACACGGAGGGCGAGTACAGCGGCATCGAACACGTGGTGAGTGTTCAGGACGCAGAGACGGGTTCAAACCGGACTCACCTGTGACCTGCTGCACCGTGACGCAGCCGCGGCGACGTTAGCGAACGTGTTCTCGCAGAGGGCTCGACAGGCCGTTTATAAAAAGCTAACGCTACGTTCAGCCGCCGTCTCCTGCCGGACGGCGAGCGTTGCTTCGTGCACGCCGCCTGAAGGTGAACACACTTCACTACAGGTTACAAAAAGGCAAATACTGGAGAGCTCCTGCTGCTCGATCTTTACTGGCATCAAGAGTTTATTCTGACCAGAAAGTTATCGTTTTTAGTTTGAGGATGTTGCGTCACTTTAAATGTTGCTACGCAAGGAATTGTGGGACGGCGTCACCTCCTTTCCTTTAGTGAAGGATGTTCCGGTGTTCCTACGCAGAAGGAGGTGAGGAAGCACTGAAGCACCACGAAGACAAAAACACGTTTAGAGCCTCCTCCACCTGCTGCTCCGAGGCAGAGTCCAGATCCAGGACTCACCAGGTGTGACACTGAGATCAGGTGACTGTGAAGGCTGCAGCATTTATTACTCACCAGACCGCTCAGTGACCCTGAAGCTCTCGGTCTTTAGCCCAGCTATTCCAGAACAGTTTAAATTCTGACCTTCTGTCGTTCCCCAACACGCTGATAAATGACTGTAAACAGGAAATGTTTCCATCTGAATCGCAGCACAAACAGAAAAACGGCTCAAACATCTTCAGTGTAAAACGAAAGTTTAAAAAGTGCTGACAAACTGAAAATACTTGATGACTCAACTGTGCGCTGTTATCAGATACTCGGATAGAAATGTAACTACGCGTCACGGCGACTCAGACCACATCATTTCCTCTGAGCTCACAGGAAGCGCTCAGTGCTCTGAAGCCAGTTTCACTGGCGACCAAACCAGCAGCTGTAACACGATGGATACTTTCTTTAGAGCGCCAGAACAGCCGCGTCAGTTTGATCCATTCAGTCCATAACATTTGGAAAATGGAGCGCACGGTTATTATTTTATCAACATTCAAGTGAGCGCAGGGCTGAAGGGGGAGCGAGCTGGCTCACCGGAAAAGGTCGACAAAGTGGGCGCTATAACGCCACCAACGCCAGCTCGTGCTTCGGAATCACAGACACCAAACTAAGAGCACAGAGTTTCTCTAAACACCAACTGTTTTTATTTTCCCCTCCTGATTATTGTAATTCTGGGCGACGGCAGCTTCATCTGCAGTTTAGCAAAAAGAAAACCTGATCGGATCCGACAAAAGTTCTTAATTTGTTTGTAGGAACGTGTTGAGGTCAAACCTTTTGTTTTGTCTTTGAAAAGTTAAAAGATGAATCAACTTTTTTCATAAATGAGCAGATGAAACCGTTCAAGCTGAAGATGAGTTTCAGCCGGACTCTTGTGAGTGAAACACGGTGGACCGACCCAGACCCCGAATCCAGCCCGGGAGTCTCTCGGCTGACTTCCTGTGGTCGTTCTGTTCTGAAATTCCGGTCTCGTCGTTGTAGATCGTGGACGGCGTTGTTCAGAGCATCAAACTGATCACAGAGGACGCCAGCAGACGCATCGCAGAGTACGCCTTCGAGTACGCCAGGAACAACCAAAGAACCAGCGTGACGGCCGTCCACAAGGCCAACATCATGTGAGTATGAACCCAGCAGGACGATGACGGGTTAACGGGTTGGCGACTGGATCGGTAACTCTCTCTCTCTCTCTCTCTCTCTCTGTCCGTCCAGGCGGATGTCAGACGGGCTGTTCCTCAGAAAGTGTCGCGAGGTGGCCGAGAACTTCAAAGACATCAAGTTCACAGAGATGTACCTGGACACCGTTTGTCTCAACGTGAGTCTGAGAGTCCTGACCCTGCCGGTGAAGTCACATAAACATGCTCTCTAGTTTAAAATGCGAACTCTGGTTCTGACCTGATGCTTCGGGCTTTCAGATGGTTCAGGATCCGACCCAGTTCGACGTGCTGGTCATGCCCAACCTGTACGGAGACATCCTCAGGTCAGTCCGTCCTCCTGCACAGCGTTTGTCTTCATGTTCTGCTCTGAGGGTTCAGTGTTGACTCCATGTCTCGAACTGTTGCAGCGATCTGTGCGCCGGTCTGATCGGAGGCCTCGGAGTCACTCCCAGCGGGAACATCGGCGCCAACGGAGTCGCCATCTTTGAATCGGTTTGTTTCTCCTTTTTTTTTTTTTTTTTTTTATTTTTTTTTATTTCAGTTCGTTTCAGCTCTGCAACAAACTTTAATAATCAACATGTTTCTTTCTTCCTGTGAATGAAAAGATGATTAAAGATTTAGAAGAAAAGTAAATTCAGCAGCCTGAACAGAATCTGCTCCTCCTGCAGGTCCACGGCACCGCCCCCGACATCGCCGGCCTGGACATGGCGAACCCCACCGCCCTGCTGCTCAGCGCTGTCATGATGCTGCGCCACATGGGTCTCCATGACTACGGCAACAAGATCCAGACGGCCTGTTTCGACACCATCAGAGACAAGAAGGTGAGACTCTGAGGCTCCTGAAGTAGAAACAGGCGTTTGGGTCACTGACCGTCCTGCGTCTCTACGCTAAACTGTAATCCAAGACGCCACGGCAGCTTCCTGCACGCCGCGCGCTCATCAGAGGCTTATTCAGAAAGCAGAGAGGTCCGTGACTCATAGGGGGCAGTCGAGTCAATGAGGCCTGGACCGGGTTCGGTTCAGACCCAAGAGAAGACTGTGAATGTGTCTCTGAGGAGTCTGAGTGGCCCGGTGTCCTCGGATCAGGATCAGGTTTAATGCCAGGAGGTTTTCAACAGACAAAGAATTTGCTTTGGTATTTTGGTCCCAATGAACGTAGAAAGAAAAGTTCTGCAGAGGTCTGGAGTCCTTGCTGCTCCTTAAAAAGTCTGGAAAGGTCTTCAAATTAAATCAGGGCACTTAAGGTATTAAATTTTCCGATGGTGCGTTCAAGGCTGGTGGGAATATTTTCTCACACGGTGGCCTAACACCGTAGTGTTAGACGATGTTTGATATAAGTTTTATGTTCCGTTATCCCACGGGTTCTGAAATGCTCCAGCGGTACGCAGCGGCTACCTGTGGGGCTATGCTAATGCATCGTTAGCACGTAGCAGACCTGAAAGTTCTGACTCCCTCACATCGTCTCTGTAGTTTAGTGTCACCGCCAGAGACGCAGAGAGCAGAGTCAGTGCGGCGCGTTCGCTGTGTTCCCTGGAAGTTATTATCCTGTCCTAGCAATTATCTTCCTATTAAAGTATCGTTTGGGAATTCTGCTGAACAATGAATCAAAATAACCAACTGCTGCAGTGACATGTGATCTACAACATGTGAGGTTGTAACCATGGAAACGGCGTTGTTTGACGAGGCGTGTTTGTACCTCAGGTGCTGACGAAGGACCTGGGAGGAAACTCCAAGTGTTCGGAGTTTACAGCTGACATCTGCCGTCGCATCCAGGATATGGACTGAAACTGAGGGAGCTGCTCCGCCACCGGCGCCGCCACAGAGCCACGCCCACCCCCCCCCCCCCCTCCACTGCAGACCGGTTGGAGCTGCAGGGACACGGTCTCCTGAGATCCTCTGAGTTTTCTTTCTACTGTATTTACATGATGGAAAAGTTGTTGCTGTAATGAGATGATGACAGGTGTGGAGGGGGCGGGGCTTCTGCTGCGGCTGCTACCTGGGTGGTGAACACGACGAAACATTCACAGTAAACATGCGCACAAGTTTTATATGACCAAGATAGAATGCAGATGTCTTCATCAGAATAATCTGTTGTAACTGAAATGCCTTCTTATTTATTGTTTCCTGTTACCGTCTTCAGAAATCTGTGACGAGAACGCTGCTTCACTGACGGGCAGCTGCTCTGTCTTCTTACTGAACGCTTTAGCACATTCAGTCATTAAAAAAGGGCTTTCAAAGGACCAACCTGCATTTACGTCTTTTTAAAACTCTTTAAAACCACAGAGATCCCCGATTGGCAGCCCACCACTGTGGACACGCCTCCCTCTGGATGACGTCAGGGCACCACGCCCCCTGCTTCCTGGGCGCGACAAGCTGTCATAGACAGACCAGAAGACCCTGCATTTTCACCTTCAAAGTAAAAGCGTATCATCTGGCCTGTTCTGAGCTCAGAATCGACAGGAAGTCAGAATTTTTGCTATAAAAGCAAGTGAGCAAACATTTCAACCCTCACCTGATATCATAAGTATAGACATTACTTACTGTGTACTAAGGGTTTGCTGTATCATTGCTTTATCATCAGACTCGGGTCACTTTACATGTTGGGACATCATACTTTATTTATACCAGATTAAGGTGATGAATATAATAATGAAAAGTGTGAAAATAACAAATATAAGCAATAATATAATATGTAGTTAAATATATTAAGTAATAAATTAACCAAACACAGAAATTTACCAAAACCAAACCATTGAATAATTAATATATGTCAAATAATTAAAAGCCAAATCTCTACTAACCAACATTATAAATAATGGAGCAACATGGAGATAATGGTTGAGTATTTATTTTGGCAGTACAAGAGGCACATACAACTTTAAATGGCTGTATTTTGTATTTATTTAATAATAATACATTTCATTTGTAATGCACTTTATATTTACGCAAATCCCAAAGTGCTACATGATAAAACAGGTAAGTGTTAAAAATTTTTTTTTAAAAACAGTCGTTTTTTCTTTTCTAAATACTAAACGTATTTCCCACTCCTACCTGGACCTCCACACCCCGGGTTTACACCCTAACCTGATCTGGATCCAGGTGATGAACCAACAGATCTGGCCTCTGTGTTCACACCTGCTTTATTTGATCTGTTCTTGTTCTCCTCACTGAGATCGGATCCATCGGCAAAACCTGCATGTGAGTAACGTGAAGTAGCGCTGAGTTCCCCCCAGACTCCCTTTAAAAATCCCATCGTTTAGCGAGTTGTTGAGTTAGAGGAAACTGTACAAACTCTGTGAAACGCAGTCTACGACAGATTTTTAATTATGTGTCGTCTCTTGTAAATTCGGCCGATGCAACACGTGAAGTTAGTCCCTGCTTTGTGTAAATAATGTTGAGTCTTGGTTCAGTTTCACAGCTGGACTTGTAGTAACGTTTCCAGGGCTGCAGGAGAGGACACAGTAAAGTTGGGCTGGTAGTTTACTCTTTGTCCTGATGAGGGAAGGGTGGAGTAGGACTCGCTCTTAAACATTATATTGTTTGGAAAAGGTCAGACAGCCTTTTACTTCCTCCAGGACCTCTGGTTATTATGGAGGAGGGTCCATCTGCATTTCCCCATTCAGTCGGGGAGGAAACCTCTCCGGGGAGGGTCAGGATAAAACAAATAGAGCAAATAAGTAAAAAATGAGACGTGTTACATTAATTACTGGGTGTAATTAGAGCTACAATCAATCGATTAATTGATTATTGAAGTAGTTGTTCGAGCTGTAGTTTTCAGAGGAAGCAGTTTGTTATACTTGTTGAGGCTGTATTGCTGATCATAGACACGCAGAAATTGGTAGGAACAGGTAGAATCTGGAGAATAAAGTTGGTGCGATAAAGAAACCAGCGGAGGAGTTGCTTAGTGTTTTATTCTGAAAGGCCGCACCGGAAGTGTGGTGCGGTGTATTCTGGGTAGCTTTGAGCTGGCTCGTTTCCTGCTTCCTCTCGGTCCCGTTTCAGTGGAACCCAGTCCGGAACCCGCGGCCCCGGTGAACCCAGTGAGCCCAGCAGAGTACCGCAGAGCGCGAGGAGCCCGCAGGCTCCGTTACAGCACCGGGACAGACGGCGGGAAAATGGCGAAGACGTACGACTATCTGTTCAAACTGCTGCTGATCGGGGACAGCGGCGTCGGTAAGACCTGCCTGCTGTTCCGGTTCAGCGAGGACGCCTTCAACACCACCTTCATCTCCACCATCGGTGAGTCCCCTCCCGGTCCCCCGGTCCACCGGAGGCTCCAGCCCCCCAGGTGGACAGGTGTGACACCAAAATGTGTGACCTATCAGATCCTGTGACACAAATGGCAGGTTAAGCGCCAGCGGCTTTGCTGACGATGTGAAGCGGTTTGGTTCTTTTTAGGCACCAAAAGTGACGTTACGGTCAGGAACACATCGTCATTTGGGTGTAGTCACAGAATCTGATGGGTCACACATTCTGGTGTTACACCGGCGGCTAACGGGACGCTCGGTCCCGTTAGCCGCTGAGCAAACGGGAAAGTGAAAGCGTTCGGGAGGGGGGCGGGAACTGTGAGCCACGTGACCTTTGCCCCCCCCCCCCGATCAGTTATATTGATCAGTTCCTCAGTTAAAGAACCGCAGCTGTGTGGATGAAGATGTAACTCAAGTACTCGAGTACAACTCTGAGGTACTTGTACGTCACTACTACAAGGAGATACTGTAGTTTTTACTGCGCTACGTGTATCTGACAGCTATACTCGACAGATTAAAGGAGTTTATAAAATCTGATGTTATGAATGAAACACAGCTGATCGATCAGCCTCTGATGTTTGTTCAGACTCCAAAGTCCAAAACCATGATTTTCACATGTCGAGTTATTTTGCACAAAATGTACAAAACATTATTATTTCTCTGTTTTAGCTGCACATCCAGTAAATTTCTTATACTTTTAGTATTTTACAGGTAAAAGTTAAAACTCTTCATATTGAATCATTTATTATGTGAAAGTTTGATTTCTAGAGCACAAGAGGTGTGGTCATGTGACAAAATGCTCAGTGTGTGAGCTAATTAGCTGCTTTCTTAAAATGACATGTTTCCTGGCAGAGTTTTTAAATATCTGTGTTTTATTTTATCTGTAAATACGTAAAAATAAAGGCTCCGTCACACAAATGAGCGGTTTTCCTTGAATAAATCAATGAAAAAACTAGATTTTGAAGAACCGTTCGGTAAACGTCTGAATGTTTTGATATATTATCACAATAAAACCAATTATGATATGCAAATCAGTGCATATGTAATGAGGAAGTACCTAATTTACATATTACAAATAAAAAAATAGTATGTGGTATTAGTTCTTTTACTGCAGTAAATGATCCCTCAGCGTTGACAAATAATCAGTAAAATAACCGAACACTTTGTTGGCAGCACTGTAAAGATTACACAGTAGGACTTAAAGCCAGAACAGGAAACATCTGGACGGCAGCAGGGAAATACAAAATAAAGCAAAACGAAATATATAAAGGCTGAAAACAGGTGGAGAAGGAGCTCCGATCAGCTGATCGATGGAAGTGATTGTTGTTGATTTGAGTCACTCGTGCACACGTATGGCGTATGTGTGTGTGCCACGTTCTCCGTGACCCTTCACCCAGCCACAGTGCTGAGTGCGCCGCCTCTGTCTTCCTGGTGGAAACAGGAAGTGGGAACTGTCACAGTGACAGAGAGAGGTGTGTGTGTTTCAGGTAAAGCTGCTCTGACGTCATGTGGTCTGATCTAAAGGTTTGATCAGGTTCAGGAGACAGAGGGGGGGACCCTGTTCAGGACAGACGGACAGGAAGTGGATGTGGCGTGCAGCCAGAGGTCATTGACCTGCTCTGCTGCACGTTTCCGTAGCAACCAGCAATAACTGGGTTTCACTTCCTGCTGACGGAGCGAGAGAAGAAAACAGGCGTGGTGGGGGACAGGTTTCTGAACCAGCTGGGACCTGAGATCAGTCAGTTATTAGCGTTAGCAGCCTGGCATTATTTTATACACATGTATGGGGTCCAGACTTCAGTGGAAGCTGGAGCGGTTTGAATCAGGCCGTCCCCGTCACACCGTCAGGCGCATGAGGGCTCTCTGTAGACTCTGCCTGAGGGAATTACCCACAGTTCAACAGGTGACGTCAACTCAGCCTGTGAAGGTTCAGGCTTTAGGGTGGAGACTGGGATTGAGCCCCTGATCCAGGTCTGACAGTACAGGTGTGTCAGTCCTCCTCGCCCACGTTCCTCGGGTAACAGAACCTCACCTATGATCACCTGCTCCGGTCAGACAGAACCTGCAGTTTCTCTTCTGACATCTTATGGCTCAAACTATCAGTCTGATCCAGAACCTGATGCAGGCAGGTCAGTAATGAGACCCAGACCTGCAGCGCTCCTGTTTTGTGTCCCAGTTTTGTGTACTCTGGCTGGTAGAGCCAATCAGCTGATCCGCATCCAGCTGGCCAGACTGGACCAGAGAGGGTCAGGGTGGGGAGGAGATTTACTCAGACCTGGTCCAGCTCCTCGGCCCTCTGGGCAGGAAGCACTTCTCCGCAGCAGGAAGGAGCGTTTGGTCAAATTTGCCTGTTAAAAATGTCTGTGACTTCCTTTTTACCCACCCGGTCAGCTGACAGACACCCAGAGCTGAGAAACAAATGCACCTCAGAGTTTGATTCACCAGCTGGGAGGGGAGACCTGGTTAAGGTCAGACGCAGCCTCTGTTCAGGTCAGACTCCTGTGTGTATGTACCCAGGTATTTACATTGTTTTTAAGGTTTTTAGGTGGTATTTACATTGTTTTTAAGGTTTTTAGGTGGTTTTTAGGATGTATTTAGTTGTTCTAAAAGTATTTAGGTGTTTTTAGGTGGTATTTTGATGTTTTTACGTTTTTTAGGTGGTATATAGGTGTTTTTAGGTGGTATTTTGATGTTTTTAAGGTTTTTAGGTATTTTTAAGGTTTTTAGGTATTTTTAAGGTTTTTAGGTGGTATTTAGGTGTTTTTACAGTTTTTAGGTGTTTTCAAGGTTTTTAGGTGGTATTTAGGTGTTTTTACGGTTTTTTAGGTGGTATTTTGGTGTTTTTAGGTGGTATTTAGGTGTTTGTAAGGTTTTCAGGTGGTATTTAGGTGTTTGTAATGTTTTTAGGTGGTTTTAAAAGGTTTTTAGCTGGTATTTAGGTGTTTTTAGGTGGTATTTAGGTGTTTTTAAAGGTCTTTAGGTGTTTTTAGGTGGTATTTAGGTGGTATATAGGTAGTATTTAGGTGTTTTTAAGGTTTTCAGGTGGTATTTAGGTGTTTTTAAAGGTTTTTAGATGGTATAGGTGGTATATAGGTGGTATTTAGGTGTTTTTAGGTGGTATTAGGTGTTTTTAGGTGGTATAGTGTTTTTAGGTGGTATTTAGGTGTTTTTAGGATGTTTTTAGGTGGTATCTTGATGTTTTACGGTTTTTAGGTGGTATTTAGGTGTTTTTAGGTGGTATATAGGTGTTTTTAGGTGGTATTTAGGTGTTTTTACGGTTTTTAGGTGGTATTTAGGTGTTTTTAGGTGGTATTTAGGTGTTTTTAAGGTTTTTAGGTGGTATTTAGGTGTTTTTAAGGTTTTTAGGTGGTATTTAGGTGGTATTTTGGTGTTTTTAGGTGGTATTTAGGTGTTTTTACAGTTTTTAGGTGTTTTCAAGGTTTTTAGGTGGTATTTAGGTGTTTTTACGGTTTTTAGGTGGTATTTTGGTGTTTTTAGGTGGTATTAAGGTGTTTGTAAGGTTTTCAGGTGGTATTTAGGTGTTTGTAATGTTTTTAGGTGGTATTTAGGTGGTTTTAAAAGGTTTTTAGCTGGTATTTAGGTGTTTTTAGGTGGTATTTAGGTGTTTTTAAAGGTCTTTAGGTGTTTTTAGGTGGTATTTAGGTGTTTTTACGGTTTTTAGGTGGTATTTAGGTGTTTTTAGGTGGTATTTAGGTGTTTTTAAGGTTTTTAGGTCGTATTTTGGTGTTTTTAGGTGGTATTTAGGTGTTTTTAGGATGTATTTAGTTGTTCTAAAGTATTTAGGTGTTTAGAGGTGGTATTTTGATGTTTTACGTTTTTAGGTGGTATATAGGTGTTTTTAGGTGTATTTTGATGTTTTTAAGGTTTTTAGGTATTTTTAAGGTTTTTAGGTGGTATTTAGGTGTTTTTACAGTTTTTAGGTGTTTTCAAGGTTTTTAGGTGGTATTTTTGTGTTTTTAGGTGGTATTTAGGTGTTTGTAAGGTTTTCAGGTGGTATTTAGGTGTTTGTAATGTTTTTAGGTGGTATTTAGGTGGTTTTAAAAGGTTTTTAGCTGGTATTTAGGTGTTTTTAGGTGGTATTTAGGTGGTATATAGGTGGTATTTAGGTGTTTTTAAAGGTTTTTAGGTGGTATTTAGGTGTTTTTAAAGGTTTTTAGGTGTTTTAAGGTTTTTAGATGGTATATAGGTGGTATTTAGGTGGTTTTTAGGTGGTATATAGGTGTTTTTAGGTGGTATTTAGGTGTTTTTAGGATGTTTTTAGGTGGTATCTTGATGTTTTTACGGTTTTTAGGTGGTATTTAGGTGTTTTTAGGTGGTATTTAGGTGTTTTTACGATGTTTTTAGGTGGTATCTTGATGTTTTTAGGTGTTTTTAGGTGGTATTTAGGTGTTTTTTCGGTGGTATTTAGGTGTTTTTACGGTTTTTA